GTACTTTAAGTATACCTATCTCACTTATGTCTTGGGATACTTAATACCTACACTAGGGAGTATATCACTTCATGACTTAGGTATACCTATCTCACTATATCTTGGGATACTTAATACCTACACTAGGGAGTATATCACTTCATGACTTAGGTATACCTATCTCACTATATCTTGGGATACTTAATACCTACACTAGGGAGTATATCACTTCATGACTTAGTATACCTATCTCACTTATATACCTTTCAGTTTAATGAAGGTTTACAATTGCTGTGCTAGCCTTAACATGTCAAATTGAGATTTTTGCATACTGAGAATAAACAAATTTGTTCTTTGTGCAGGAAAGTATGTATAAGCCATTCACTTATAAGCCATACATTAAAAGAGGTTTTACATTGGGAAATAAAGCAGCCCTTAGGCTGACCCATTTGGGCTTGACTTAATATCATGTGAGAACAAAAAATAATATTTAGGTTGGTCTAAATAAATTGCGCCCTGAAAGGTGTGCCAGTGCTAATCCTAATTTTAATTCCCAAGTTAGGCCAGCCTAACTGCATTATAACCAAGCACTATATTACATGCCACAAACCTTGACTAAATGTGCAAATTCAGTTTGTGACCTTTGTTGCTTAGTCTTAAAACCCTTTTCACAATGCAACAATAATGGCTGATAATAGTCAATTGGACCAAGGAGGAAATCGTTATAAGGAAGGAAGACCAAATTCAAAGATTTCTCGACATTAAAATATGTATTAGAATCCACATTACTAATACAAGTAGCAGAACCTAAAATTCATCATATATGTAAATGTCGCGTACCCTCTGTTGCAATATACCGCATTAATAGAAGTTGCGGCTTCTTGTACACATTTTGTGTACAGTACTTCCAAAGACAGTATTGCAAATAAAAAGATCGCAGCCTGGTTATGTTTGACCATAGACCCTCTATGGTTTGACTGTCTATCAGTCTATGTAGTTGTGTCCCCCAATTCTCTCATTCTAGTATCCAGATAGTTTGTGTCCACTCTTCCAACCACCCACGATTCAAATTAGTTAGGACGACTCCAAGATGATTTAAGACAATATGATGCAAACTATGTCTACATTGAGATTTGCTGAGTATGGTAAATACAGAAAAACACAGAGGAGAAACAACACGTTGGGCCGCCTAAATAATTTTAATCTTGTTTATTCAACAAACAAAAATTGTGAGCATGCCTTAGGCTTTGCTAAATATGAAACAAAGTGAGGAGAGAGTGTCCAATAGGGTGTTCATATTCCACTGACCTTATGAACCTTGAGACGCAAATTGCCAGTGACTCGTTTTGAGCAAGAGAGTCATCTGACTTGTTTTTGCCCCTCAAATAGTGTTCCATTCTCCCCGTCATCAAGTTCACTGTTCCAAATACCATGGTTACAGAGATCAATGGAGCAGCGGATGCAACAACGCATAGTCGCACCAGCCATTTGCGTCTATAAAGTCTATTGGCCCACACAACTTTAGTGTTCATGGGTCATCAATCAATAAATCATGTAGATTTATTTTCAGCTGTGTTTTCCTATGGTGGAGGTATATAGGATCAGTCTCTCTCGATAAAACTCAAAAATTCACTTACGCTCTCTCTTGGATTCTCTGAACTGGAACCTGTAGAAGTTTAATAATTCTGTCTTCTCTCGCTTTTTCTTTTCTTGTACTGTTGCTTTTGTTTGGTTCACTTCTGTTCTGGCCAATCCGGGTTTTCTGCCTTTCCGAGTTACAGTAATCCAGCCATCAGAGTCTGCAACTCCTTCCAATTCAGTTGTCTTTTCTTCCTCCTTGTTCACAAAAAAAGATAACCAGAAATTTAATGTATCAGTAGCTACACCAATACAATGACTGTGAACATACAACAACTCAACTGTCTTTTTCTTCTTTGGTTTACATGCAATGTTTCATCAGTACTGTTTATATTATTTATACATTTTCGTGTTTAAAATATTTTAACATCACTGATTAACGTATAATGGACACATTGGGTACCATAATGTTTAAGCAGTGCATAAAAACAGAGTAAAATTTGTAAAACACCCTTTTATCAGATATTTTGGAGAACAAACAAATTGGCAATTTGGCAATGGCATCACCAGAAATGAGTGGATAAGATGGCCGACTTCCGTCCTGACCAGTGTTCCCCAGTCAAATAAACATCACAGAATGTGCCATAGAGAATGCATTGCATAAACATATATTAAAACAAATTTTAATTTTGAGTTTATATTTTTCATTTTTTCACTTTTGTGTGCTTCGTAATAGACAGGTGACGTTCCAAGCTTTCGATATGTTATAGACGTTTTCATCAAAACTCCACATAAATGCCCAACTTGCCGTAAAACCTGATGATAAATCCTACACTGGTCCAGTGTATTACCAATGGACGATATGTATTTGTGTGCCAGACTCTATTTTTAAAAATAGGAAAATGCACTAACGCAGGTGACTGTTCAAGTTTGTTTGCTTCGTTCTGGATACTCTCTGGTTCAATGAACACGACGACGCAGTTGACGCAGTTGTAGACGCAGTATTCGCTGCCCAAATTAGAGTTGAAATTCATGCATTTTTTACACTGATATACGATTCAGTTGTTAGCAAATATAACTGTTTTAATCCAATTAACAACAGGAAGTAACCTGAATCAAGATTTCTTTTATGTTCGTTAGTCCATGGAGGTAAAAAGAGCATGGTTAGTCCATGTTAAATCACCCCACTTTTCGAGCGCAAACCACTATCGCCATACTCCTTTCGATGCTGAAGGTCAGACCACAAGATCAATATATTGTATCGGCCGTTTTCCCTTTTTATAAAAGAGGCGTTTCATCCCACTGC